GATCATATATTATTAAAAATTAATGTATATATTTTATAGTTATATAATTTTTTATTTGTTATATTATTTTTAATTTAATTAAATTAATTGATAATTAAAATAATTATTACTTATAATATTTTGAATACTTTAATAGTATCTATATTTAGTATAATATCAATTATATATAAAAGTTATTTTTAATTTATATATTATTATCAAATTTTTATAAATTAGAAAATGAGAACTATTATGCATTTGTAGTATTTATATTATTTAATTTACAGAAAAAACTCAAAAAATAACTTAATATAATACTAATTTTTTATATATACTAATTTTATAATACTGATTTAAATAATACGTATTTTTATTATTATTACCTAATCATGTAATATTAATTGTTATACCTAATTTTAAGCATTTTTTTATAGTTATAGATAGACATTTTATAGTCTTGTATATTATTAAAAGTCTTTTACTATATTTTAAATAATTAGTAAAATAAATAAAATTACTTTATTTTTAATTTTAAAATTTAATTAAAAACATATATAAATTTTTAAATTTAAATAATAAAAATATTATTAATTTAATAATTTAATAATATAAATAAGATAAACAAAAATAATATAAATATAATTTATATTATTATATAAAATATTTATAAAGTTTACTAATTAAAAATAGATTTTAATATATATAATAAAGTTTTAAATTTTAAAGATTAATAATTTATTTTAATAAAATTATTAGTTTTTATAATACTATAAATATTATAAATACTATATACTTCTGAAATTAAGCATCCCTTGAAATTAAGCATCTCCATATTTATATATATACTAAAAATAAGCACCCCCTGAAAATTGATTTATTTTATATTATTTAAGTATTAATATATGATAATTACAGTTTAATTAAACTTTATTAAAAAAATTTTATCATTTTAATTAATTATTTATCATCACTAATTATCATCCCTTACATCATTTTTCAAATTATCACCGCTTATATTATTCTCACTACTATCATTCTCTAAATTATTCTCCAAATTATTATTACTAATAATTTTGAATCACTATCATTTTCTTTATCAGAATCTTATACATCATCTAAAGCATTTGAAATATTGCAAATTTTAAAGGATTATATAATAATTTCATTAGAAATTCTCTCTCAAGAATATTTTACCAATCCACATATGTCACTGAGTTTAGCACATCTAAGATTATCTGCTATTGTCTTTTTAGCACCTCTAACAGCTATCCAAAGGTGCCATTTCTTATATAAGTTATTTTTAAATAATTTATTTATTACTACGTCAAGTGGTTAACAGAAACTTATCAGATCACCTGGTATAATGGCTAAATCCATTCCATAATTATGAAATTTCTCTTTTATAGATTCCTTCAAGTGTTCTTGAAAAGAATCATAAATCATTAAGATCAAAGCCCTGAATCTGCTAACAACCTCTATGTCATTAAAATAATTAATATACCATTTTATTAATTTAGTATCCATCTACCTATTTTTCTGAAACTAAACGATTACACTAAAAAGTATCTGTTTACCTTTTGATAATCACTTTTCTTTAAAGATGCAGATCAGAGAAAGCTTTATTCTATCTACAATAAAAAGAATTATAGTTGTTAAATAAAATTAAAAAAATATATGTTGAAGATCAAAAACATCTTTGAAATTTTTTGAAAATTAAAAATATCATTAAAAATCAGTTGGATTATTGAAAACAAAAAAATCAAATCAAAAAAATTAAACCCTCATGAAAATCGTCAAAAGAAACTACAACTTTAACCTCTAAAACTCTCAGTCCTAGTCAAAGAAAGAAAATTTATCAGATAATTTTTAAAAGTGTGCAGAAAATTGAAAAAATATCTGTTAGCAACTACTCAAGAAGCAATGGTAGAAAGTATTATAATCTCAAAAGTAAATTTCTTAAAACTTAAAATTGGAATTTTAAATCTAAAAATTGTCTAAAAATCAGAATCTTAAACTTAAAAATCACCTAAAAAACAAAATTATGAAACTATCATGAAAATTCAAAATCAGAATCATTAAAATTCTAAATATCAATACAGTTCTCATAAAATTAAAAAAATTGTTTAACCTACCTATTGCACATATTAAAATCACTGTAAATTAGTTTTTTTCATTTTCAGTATTGCAAATTTAAACTGTTTTCTCCTCTTTGAATTAATAGTGAAATTTTCTGCTATCAAACTATATTGGAGTTTCGTTTATATTAAAAATGTTGCATAATTCAAAGGATTTTTCAGTTCTCAGGTAGATAATAAATTGACAAAAATTGACTAATAATTCTTCCATTTAGTTTAAAAGTTTTTAAAAAATTTTCATACATCACTACTAAGACAACTTGCATCTTTTCATAAAAGAGGATAGCTATCGATCTGACATTTTAAAATCTTTTGCTGAATTACCATATAAACCTATTATTTCAGGTTTCTTTAGAATACCTTGTATTTTAATTCGTAAGAATGCATAAGTAACAGCTATTTTTGCTTTCTTTATTCAATAAGCTAAGTATACAACTTTTTTCAGTTTCAAGATAGAAGACTTTTTAACCTAAGCCAATTCATTTACTGTTTTAGTTTATTTCAGTATTCTAAGTTTGCTTGCTTTAATCTAACAGTCTACTATATTAGTATTAAATTGAAAGTGTCTTACCGCTTTATTTTATTTGTGCTATTTAGTGTAAGTGATAACTTAGTTTTTCTGATTAATGGAATATAAAGAACAGTTACGTTTGATAGGTTTATTATGTACAACTTATATGTATTTTCTTAGCATTTTTTGTGAGAGTTTAAAACAGATTTCAAAACATGTATCGTATAAATTTCATGTTATAAAATCATTTAGTTGCACAATATTATCAGACCATCTGATGATTATCATTTTGCGCAGTTTCAAATATCATTTTGGCGACGCAATTTTGAAAAGAAGTAATCTTTTACAAAATCACCCAAAATTAAGCACCTCTATAGTAAAAAAGGGTTGCTTAATTTTGGAAGTATACGGTAGTAAAATTAATGATTTTATATTAACTGATCAGAATTTAATTAATTAAAATAGTTTAATTAAATATATTTATCAAGATATTATTATTAAATTTATCAATTTATCAGTTAGAATTAATTATAAAATTTTATTTTAAATTTAAAGATTCAGTTTACAAATATGATTGTAAAAATACTATTCTCAGTATTTATTGATCAAAAATCAATAATCTTTAATTTATTAAATTGAAAGAATTCAAATTAATGTATATAATATACATATTAATTATATAATATAAAATATTTATTAATTTATTTATATATATAATTTTAGTTATTTTAGCTTTTTATTAAAAAATTTAAAATTTTTAATAAATGATTTTAATAAATTTAAAATTAACTTTTAATTAAAATATAAAAATTCTAGGCAAATTTTCTTGTAAAATAATAAAAGAATAATTGTTAAAGAGAGTATCATTTATTTAATTTTAAATTTTTAAATTTAAAAATCAAATATTTTTAATATGTAACCAAAAAATTTAAAATTTAAACTATTGATCTATACAAAGAATTAAGTGACCAATGAAACGGGGTCTCAAAGTCATGGGCTGAATATCAGAAATATCTCGGAATGTTGTGGTAAGATTCCTCATGCGGACATTACATAGCACACAATAGAAATAGAAATAATAGCAATACAACTGTTATTGTGCTATAATTATTACTAGGAAACGTGGACCGTAGTTAAGTCCGGAGCGATTTTACTGCTTTTAGCAAAAAAACTGATATCTGCTAATGGAGCGGAAGAATTTGAAAGTAAACAACAATAAAACATACGATCGAACTGAAATTTTAACTCGTTTCGGCGTAAAATTGCTACTCCAACGTGATCATAATTTTTAGTACAATCCCATATACTTATTTGGTAATAGTTGTGTTGTGAAGAAACTAAGAACCCTATTATTTAGTTACGAGAATCGGTTGACAAAACTAAATTGGCAATGATGTTTCCGATGTTTATGGTATGTGAAGTGGTTTGAGAAAGAAAATGTTTTTAATCAATAATTCAAGACAGAAAAAGATTGTTATATTATTTGTAACCCGTAATTTGATTTTATTTCTCGGAATCGAACAATAATGGAATAAAGTATAAGGAATACTAAGGCGTCTCGTTTCTCTTCATTACTTTCAACCTAAATCCTTTTCAATAGAAACTTTTGTAAATCACAAAATCTTTCTAGATTCGGGACTAACCCTATGACGAATTTCTATCTAGTTTATTAATCTTAACTAAAAAAAAAAATTCGCGATAGTCTTTCACTAGGAAATGGACCAATCACGAAACGACTCAGATTTCGAGATCGGGACATTTTGTGTCACCCATAATAGACCTTATACGGACTAATTAGACTATGCTTTATCTCTTGCAAACGCCAATTATTATGTTTCTAAGAATAAACAACCAATAGAAAATTAGTATCTCTCTTAATATATTTAATATATGCGAATATGACATAATACATTATTATTATTATATATATACAACCAAACTATTAAATCTTAACAAAATTTTAAAATTTTTGAAATATTAATTTTGTTAATTTATATATAATATAATTTGTGGCGGAAATTACTAAATCGAGAATTTCTAGTTGACAGAGCTTTAAATTCCCACATTTTCACAAAAAAAAAAAAATTTTCTACCCCTTTTTTGACCTTAAAAAAATTATATGACTTGTTAGATCTAGAATGAGGTGTTATCTTTAAACATCAACGAATACCTTATGCCTGTCTAACTGTCGTTATCTCAGGGTATTAACGAACTTTTTAAAGTATGTACATTTATTATGTTACGAAATTGGCTTTAAAACAAAGTGTAGTTTTTTGTGATTTTAAATTTTCTCTCTCTTTAATACTTTTAAATATTCTATTTTGTCGGAGCATCATAATAACGATTTTTTATTTGTATAAATTCAGTATTTTTCAATGAAACCATATTCTCCAAGAAAAAAAAAGCTTAAATTCGAATTTTCAGAAATACAAATGGCTACAACAAGTGCAGATTCTTCATCCTCTATGATTATTTCTCCAGCAGCATCATCATCATCATTTGCTGCTGCTTCTCCATCATTCTCGAATAATTCACAAGCTTCATTAACTCCTTCGGTTCCAAATCATCATATTCCTGTAGCTGTTACAATTCCTCCTGAAATCTTTATTAAAATATGTGAACATCTACCACCGTCAGACCTTTTGGTATTAACAGGTGTTTGTAGAAGATTTCGAGGATTTTTATGTTCTCCAGAATCCTCTATTACACAAGATATTTGGCGAACTTCTCGAGTTAATTTTCTTCCAAGTCTTCAATTACCACCACCTGATGGAATGTACGAAGAAGAATATATTCGATTTGGAAAATTGTTAACCAACTGTCAATATTGTTTAACCAAAAAAACCGTAAAGGTTTATTGGCAATTTCGTGTAAGATGTTGTCAAGAATGTTTGTCGAAAAACACCACTCCGATTGTGTCAGTATATATATTTTTCTATTTAAAATAAATCGTATTTATTATACGTTAATTTAAAATATATTTATTGTTTTAATATTGAATAGTTTTAGCAAAACTTATGAGTGGATGAACGACAGCGTTCTTAGCGGATTGGCGTATGTACGCCATAATAACCAAGTTCTTTTCTGGTATCCTGATGTTAAATCATCATACAAAGAATTTGAGGCGATCAGTGGCAATAAATATTTGGAGTGGGTCGAAAAAAGAAAAGAAAGTCGTATTAAGATTATGGATGATGCATCTCAACGTGATCATGCAGCTGCTTCTGCTGAAGAAGAAAAAAATAAACAAAATGGTGCTGCAGCTGACACTACACAAAGTATTGCAGCATCTGTCGGTGCGTTAGATGTTGATCCTAGACAATATGCTCTTTCCCAAATTCGTATTACTGGAACGAGATCAAGCGTTTCTTCGGCCGTTTCGGCTTTGCAGCATTTTCCGCATATTGATACTCTCGATATTATGATCATGGATTCCCCTTAAATTAGTTAGATATGAAGGCACTTGTGATTGAATTAATTAGCACTATAGGAACTTATTTCATCAATATTATTGATGAATGATGATAATTATTAGTATTTTAGTATTCTTTCTTTTGTTTTTCTTTTTTTTATTACTTATTTATTGCAAAAACGCTAACAGAGGGTTTTGCACTTATTTAATCATTATTTTATTATTAATATTATCATCATTATTAGAGATGCTTTGTATATATTTGTAGGAAAAAATTATTGAAAAAAAAAGAAAACATCAACAAAACAAAAAAAAAAATATTCTTTATGCTAGTATTTTTTATTATATTGTATTTTATTTGCTTAGAATTTTGCTTTATTTTTTTTTTTATTTTTTTTTTTTATTAAAAAAAATTGAGAATATTTACTTGTACGTAAAAGGAAATTATAGAAGTTTCAGTATATATTCTATAAGAATTTCCTGATTATCATTATAAGTTGTATTTTTTGTTTTTCGATAGGTTGAAAAGAAATATTTGAATTAAATCGAGTACTGCGGATGACAATCGTTTTTAGCAATTGCCAAAACGATACTCATTGACTTGAGTAATCAAGATACTGTAGTAAGAAAGATACTGTAGTAAGAAAGATACAATCTTCTGAAATAAAAAGGAAATAAATCAATTGATAGGTATCCTAAATAAGATATCGTAAGCGTTCTAAGATTTAGTTTTTTCTTTTAATCGATACCATTGATATAAGACGCGTATTATTTTATACATATTACCAAGAACTTACTGCCATCAACCCATACCATATTTTAATAAATACTTTCCGTAAATCTTTTAAACATGTAATACTCTTTTCTTGTTCATTTGCTTCTAGAATTGATGCGTTATCACGTGTAGCTATCGCGCTAAATAACTAGTACTGTTAATTGATAATGATGACATATATATTGCGTTATTTGATAAACCAAAAAAAAAGGGATGATAATTGTCTTAATAATATGCTGTATAGCCTCAACCTCTTTTGAAGAGTATGTTTCGAAAATATGCATCCTTCAACGTAAATTTTTTTCCTTTTTTTTTTTAAAAAAATTTATATAAATATTATCAACGGAAAGCTTTTAATAAGAAATTAACCTTGAATTACGGTAATAATTTTAGGAACTCCGGTTTGATGGGTTTTGTTGTTGGGTTAATCGTAGGATTTACAATAAATGAATTTCTACGTACGAATCAACGAAATTTATCAAAGAAAGATTCTAAAACTGACGAACGCGAAAATCACCATAACGTTCAACTGCGAACTGACATTATTGATATATCAACATCACCAACCGAACGAATTCATCAATTACAAGAAGAATTCGATTTATTAACAATGAATCCTTTAATTAAATTAGAAAAGTATAAAGAAATATTACAAGTAAATGAAAATTTATTAAATGAAAAAATTCATGAATATAAAAAATTAAAATATGAAATTTTAAACAAGGAGGAAGAAATTAAGTCGGAAATTGATTATTTAGACGATTTTACTGAAAATTTAAAATTATTTATTCAACAGGAAGAAGCCATATTGGTTAATGGTAGTAACGAGGATACTCTGACATTGATGAATATTTTGTTGATTAATTAAGAAAGATTTTGATATAGATGGTTAAAATTATATATATTTTTTTCCTTGGATAATTGGTTAAACATATTATATATAACGAATCAAAAGAATGTATTGTAATAGTTTAATATTAGAAAGAACCAAAATTCACAAATATTAAAAATTAAAAATCAGGATCTAATTATTACTACTTATTAGTAAAACTAATAAGATTTTATTTTATATATAAATCATTCTCTTTTTTTTAAAAAAAAATAGTTATTTATTTAAAATTTAATTTTTTAATTCTTAATATTTTATATATAAATTATAATAAAAATTATCTTTATTTATTTTTTATATTTTTTATATAATAAATAATAATATAATTAAGATTAATAATATATAGGTAACAATTAATAGAAAAAAGTAAAATCTAAAATTTTTTAATTAATCCACTAAATTGATCAGTTATGTGCTTAAAATTAACTTAAAATTAAAATTAGCAAAATTTTTAGAATATTTTTTTTTTTTACTAATGCCTTTCTATATATTAAAATAATTTAATTAAAGAATGTTAATGAGTTTAAATTAGATAATCTCTAGAGTTCACAACTGGTCTAATATTTGTTATGTTATTATAAGTTTATTTATTTAATGATACTTGTTTCAAACTATTTATATTTGATAAACTTTAATATATTAAATAATATAAAAGACTACAAGGAAGAAAAATTAAAAAAGAAAGGCTAAGTTTATAATAATACAATGCAAAAGGTTGATAAATTAGCAATAACAAATTAATAGAACTATTAAGTAATAAAATAGTAATCATATTTTTAATAAGAAAAATTTATTTATTTTTTATTAATTTAAAAATTATAATAAATGTATAACACTCTTCAACCAATAATATATAGATATTTTTATTTTTTTATTTATTTCTTTATGAGAAAATAATAAAAAAATTAAGATACTTATTTGAATATTATCAGCAATATAATTAACTAATAATAATAAAATTATATAAATAATATAATATAATGATCTCTTAATTCAAAATTTTGAAAATATTGAAAATTTGCAAATTCTAAAAATATAGAAGATTTACATAATTCTGCTGATCTTCTAAATACTAATAATAATCCTAATTTTATGAATTAAATGAAATTTAAGAGTATTCAATTTAATACTCATTCTAATATGTTACTTTTTATTATTATTTTTATTTTATTATATATTTTATTATTTTTATTATCTTTAATTTATTTAGTTTATTTATATTTTATTTATTAGAATAGATAGTTTATAGTGTAGCAATTAGTTAACTATGAAAAAAAAATTTGTATAAATAAATAGACATTTTGTTTATATTATAAATTAATTTTTTTGTAAGTTTTAAAATATGAAGTTTAATATTAATAAAGGAATCAATTAAAATTATATTTTTTTGCCTCTTTATATTTTCATATAGATTCTTTACAATAGAAAAAAACAGAAACTACAAAATTTTTTTTTGAATTAATATTAAATTTGGATTTATTTTATTAAAAAATAAAATTTTAACTTATAAAGTAAAAAAATTTTTTTAGTAGTTTCTACCTTTTCTATTATAAAGTATTTATATAGTCTGATGTAATTATTATATATTATTTGTATTTGAGTTTATTATCTGAATAATTTACTTAAATTTGTTTATAATATTATCTTTCAAGTCTTTATACTTAACAAATTTATTAAATTTAATACATAAATTTGATAAAGTTAAAAGTTAAACAGATTCTTATATTTTAACTGTAATTAGTAACTTCAAGTAAAAACTTAAGAATTTAATCCACCTAAATTAAAGAATTTCAGAGTGATAATATATAATAATTAATATATAAAATAAAATTATTATAACAGATATTTTGTGTAATCTCTTACTTATAAATTATATAGAATTTTGCTTTATTCTAAATTAATTATATTAAAGTAATATTTAATTTATTTAATATCATAATATAATTTCTAATTTCTAATTTCAAATATTAAAAAATAATTTATTTATTATATTTTTAAATTTAAATTAATTATTATTAAATTTTAATTTGAAAAAATAAATAAATTAATAATTTAATAAATTATAATATTTTTAAGTTATATATTAAAATAGATTTTAATAAATATTTTAATAAATAAAATAATAAAATAAATATATAAAATAAAAAAATAAATAATCTATTTATTTTTAATATTTATTTAAATTACAAATTCTTATAAAAAATAATTTTTAATACAGTTTCTGGCGAAAAGAATGGCGGTAGATATACCGCATCTATATTTGGCCGCAACACCTCCACTTTTTCAATTTTGAACTATTGTTAATTTTACCAAATTGGATAATGGAATGCTAATTTTAAAAGGTAAGTTGTAAAAATTATTTGTTATTTCTATTTTTTAATTTTATCTGCGAACAATGCCATCTTCTCTTGAAATACAATAAAACTCCATTAAGTCACTTATGCAGCAAAACGTCTGTAATGCGAAGAAAGTTTCACAAAAATTAGGAGTTCATGTGAGCGATATGCTAGTATTCTGCGTAAATTGGCAATATTTCTATAGAACACTTATCTGGCTGACCGAAGAAACCTAAAAAAACGCCGCTAATTGAAAATTTTTGTAGAACAATCATTTCACTACGGCTGGTGAAATTAAAGCAAAG